GATTCTGGGATCATGACCCAAGCTGAAGGCAGACGCTTAACCAACTGAGCCACCCAGGCACCCCTATCATCACTATTCTTAAAGTCTAATAACTAATCCTGTCAACTGCTTTTCTCCTCCAAAAAAGCAGTATTTTATTTAGTGGTGCTGTAGTACTGGGACTGCTTATTTACTGTCTAGAATGTTCTTCCTGTAACTCTTCATATTGCTAATGACTCTTCATCCTTCAAGTCTTTGTTTAAATTGTTCCATCCCTGGGGGCGCCTGGCTGGCTCAGTTAGTAGAGCAGGAGACTTTCGATCTCAGGGTTAAAAAAGAAAAAGTTCCATCCCTGATCCCCAAAATTAAGCTCAATTGCTTTCTATGCTGTTTCACATATAGAAACCATACACTTCCTCTTTCATAATACCCATCATTCTGGAACCAGGTTTTATACCCGACAGAGAAGGTACACACTTTTTTCTTAAACTTTTTATTTTGAAAAATTAGAATCACATGAGGTGACAATGAAATTTACAAGAAGGTTCTATGCACCCTTCATGAAGCCTCCCCCAGTAATACAGTATCAAAACCAAAGACCTAAAATTGATAAACCAGTTTATTCAGATTTTACCAGTTATACGCATACTCCTATTTGTCCGTGCGTGCGCGCGCGCGTGTGTGTGCATACTTCGATGCAATCTTACCACATAGGTAGTTTCCTGCAACCACTACCATCAAGATAGAATTACACCATCGCCACAGGGCGCTCTCCTTCTACCTCGTTTTAGTCACACCCACTCCTCCTCCCAATCCCTAACCACAAACCTTTCTCCAGATTATATAATTACATTATTTCAGGAGCATGATACAAATGGGATTACCCAAAATGTTACCTTTTGGGATTAGCTTTTTCACTTAGCATAATTCTCTGGAGATTCAGTTAAGTTTTTATGTATATCTATAGTTTGTTCCTTTTTATTACTGACTATATTCTATGGTATCAATATATCATGAATGTTTAAGTACTCACTCGCTGAAGGACATCTGGTTGATTTCTGCTTTGGGCTCTTACAAATAAAGCTGCTATGAACACTCACATACAAGTTTTGTATGAACATTAAGTTTTTACTTCTCGGGGCGCCAGTCGTTAAGCGTCTGCCTTCGGCTCAGGTCATGATCCCGGGGTCCTGGGATCGAGCCGTGTCAGGCTCCCTGCCCCGGTGGGAAGCCTGCTTCTCCCTCTCCCACTCCCCCGCTTGTGTTCCCTCTCTCGCTGTGTCTCTCTCTGTCAAATAAATAAAATCTTAAAAAAAAAAAATAAGTACCCAACATGTTTAAAAAAAAAAAAATTTTTACTTCTCTGGGACAAATGCCTAGGTGTGTTAACTGCTGGGTAGTATAGCAGATGCATGTTTAGTTGTTTTTAGAAACTGTCAAATGGTATTCCAAAGTGGCTGTACCATTTTTTTTTTTTTTAAAGATTTTATTTATTTATTTGAGACACAGAGATACAGAGAGAGAGGAAACACAACCAGGAGCAGTGGGAGAAGCAGGCTTCCCACTGAGCAGGGAGCCCCACGCGGGGCTCGATCCCAGGACCCTGTGATCATGACTTGAGCCAAAGGCATACGCCCAACAACTGAGCCATCCAGGCGCCCGTGACTGTCCCATTTTGCATTTCCATTAGCAATGAATGAGTGATCCAGTTTCTCCACATCCTCACCAGCACTTAGTA